GCAGAGCCCCATGCTGTGACATGCAAAAGTGGGACTGCCCAGAGAACTTGGTAGCAGCTTTGTTCATGGTAGGAGCCACCTTGAGGTGAAACTGCTTTGAGAGGAGACTCAAGTTCTTTATGTGTTACTAAAAGCACCTTCATGAGAAGAACTGAAAACACCAGATGATTTTTGGCATAGGTACCTTGTACGTTGGCACAGGTACAGCTGTGCAAAGGCAGTACGGAGATGCCTCACAGCTTTCGCTGTTGGTAAATCTTTTATCAGTTGATACTGATACCCATACAATGAAATATTTTTTACATATATTTGTGCAGGTGCTTTTTAAATAGGAAACTGCAGTCTTCTGAGCACTGGGCATCTCCTCCAACAACACACGGCAGGGAGGGCAAAGCAGCCTTTCCTCCACAAACTGCATTTTACAGGAATGGCACGCTATTCCCTTTTGCTAAGAAACAGGATAGGTGTTTCCCTCGGAGGATAATCCAGGGCAGCAAATCCCATGTAGAGGCAGGCATCTACTGGCAGTGCTGAGCTGGGTACGGGAGCCCTAGGAGGAGGGCAGTTTAAGATCCTTTCATTTCTCAGCTGCCAGCACAAGGTCACCCCCCTCCTATCTTGGCTGGGTTTTCTCAGGGCCCAACCTTCCCAGATTCTGGCCATGGTGCACTGGCACTCAACAGAAACATTGCTTTGGAGGTAGGCAGTCGGAAACAGGTTTGCAACGCTCAGGCTTGTCTTATGTAATAAGGTTTTATTCTTAACTCTCATCCCTTCCAAGCAGAAAGCAGCTTGAAGAGTTTGAGCATGTGGATTGTATTCTGTCTTTTAAACTCTTTTGCAGTTTATTATTATATCTGCAACTCTGTTGCAGTTTATTATTATATTTTATTACATTATTAAGATATTAAGATATTATTATATCTTATTACTCTTCTGGACAAAACTTTTAGTCCCATTTCTAGGTGGTCTTAATCCCCTCAAAGTTTCAATAAGCCTCTCAGTTACAAGGCATAGTAAAGTCCTGATTAACTGAATAGTCTGTTCAGCTTTTGCTTGATTTTGTCTGAAAAGTCATATATAGAGATTTTGTTAAGTGTGTACAAGTGAGACACATGGTGAAACCCTCCCCTGGAACTCTACTGCACAACTGCTTTACAGACAGTAGGTCTATGCCAAATTAACACCAGTAGCCAAAGCTGGCAGGGAGGGTTTTGTCAAATCTGCCAACTGAGTTTTGTGACTAGACATGATCAAGGGCCAAAAACTGTGTCTTTTCTAAGAAATTTTCTAAAGACAGAACAAACAAATTATGTTTGACTGTGCATCGTTACGTTGACCTTTACACAGGACTGTGCAGAGAACTGGTACAAGCCAATATGACAAGCCAATATGAATTTCTTTCATAAATAAGGTTTATAATGTCATCAGAACGTCATCTGAAATTGAAGCTTGATGTGTGAAATACACTATTAAATGGCTGTTTGATGCTTTCTTGATTTTAGGACTCATGCAAATTAATGCATGCATGGTGGAGAGGTCATTACGGACCCTGATGCATCATTTCAGGCATGCACTAAGCTGCACAGAGTTGCATGTACCTCTCATTCACAGATGTTTGGCATGAAGAGTGCACCAATTTGTTTGCTAGACATCAAAGCACAATATGTAGCAAATCATACTGTAAAGCAATGCAAACCACTTGTTAGCGAACAGCCCGTTTCGCCTGCCACCAAGTGAGTATGTCACAGATGCGAACAGTTCCCTACTCATTCCCTCACTAATCTGAAACATCGCTTTCACCAGTGAAGAGCAACCCTGAAATAGAAATGCATAAATACAGGGCTTCAGCTGAAAGGGGGCTTGGAGTATTACACGTAGGAAGATCATGCATAACCTAGCTTATCAGGCAGAAGATAGGATAAAAGGACTGCCTTTGGTGTGTAAGAGGAAAACTTGCATGCTTGGATCTCAACAGTGGATGAAATTCGAGTTAAAAAAGAGCTAGTGGCACGCAGAGCTCGTGGCACAAAGAGACCTAGTTCCCTAATGCAAAAGGGCAGCTGAAAAATCACAACAGGCCAAAATGACTTTGTATCTCTAAATACACAGGTCAACTTTAATCACTGTGACAAGCACATACAAGTCTGTCAAGCCAGTCAGTTAAGTGGTGTAACTGAGGCAAGTTTGACCCCAAATCCATGCCTGACAGGCATTTGGAATCAAATCGAGTGAAGGAGTGAAACAGAGCATTCTCCAAGCCTGAACTTTTGTGTCTGCAATAAATAAATGAACAAAAAAGTGCCTCAGCTAGCCATTTCATTGAAATGCAAGAACGTAGTTGCTTTGCTTTACTAGTGCTAACCCCAAGAGGCTGGTAAGGCAGAAGCAGAACCCTGCTCCATTCCGCTATTTACAGGCTCTGAAAAAATACATTTCCAATGCATGCTAGTGCCAGAAGCATAGTATCACCAGCAGCCTCTCCAGCAATGCCTCCAAAGAGGTCTCACCATTGGAGGAGACTCCCCGAACCTCCCAGGTCTGTGTTGGGAGACCAGCCTGGGGAGGGGAAAGAGCAAATTGCTGCTCTTGGGAAGAGAAACTGAAATTAAAAAAAGGCAGGGGGGAAGGAAAAAGAGTTTCAGGAGGACTGAAGAAGTCAGTCTTAAAATCACTAATAGAAAGAAGAAAAATGTAGATAGAAATGAGAGGAAGACATTTTTTAGCATGAAGAAAGAAGAGGAAGGCTAGACAGGGAAAGAAAATGGAACTGGAGAGGTGCAGAAACACACAGGAGACCAAAATAAAGAAAGAAGGGGTTAACAGGAGGCAGACAGCAAGTACAAGTGGCCAAATCGTCTTCATTCTTTGACCATTCATAGAGCTGATCGTTAGGCTTGGAACTTGGGGGGGGCGGGGGGGGGGGAGGGGGAGAAAAAAAAAATGATTTTTGAAAGCAGCAGAGAAGTTGAAAGTCAGCCACACCATTTTTCCTGCCCAGAAAAGAATAAGAGAAGTATTGCCGTCAGATTCTCCGTTCCCCTTGTCAGGGATGTGGCGGGGTGGATGGGTGCTTTACAATGTCATGGAAGACAGAGCCACAGAAGCTTGTGTCAGGTACAGACAGGCACTGCATGTTAGTGGCTGAAACAGGGTTCAACAAAGCTCGTAGTCTCCCTTTCCCTTCCATTTCCATTCTCTAACAGCTGGAATCACCACTAATATTAACTAGCCTTTACTCTTACCAGCTAAAGAGTGGGGTAAGATACCACAGTCAGAACTATTTTCTTTGAGATTACAAGCAAAACAAATTTATCTTCCTGTAATCATTCTCCATAAATCTTTCACTAATACTTCGCTGAAATTCAATGTCATTAACTATTTTTTTGTTAATTGTTGTTTGTTTCATTAAACAATGTCAAGAACAATAGCGCAGACTGACTGTTGTATGACATTTGTTTATCTGGTCCTCTTTTTGCTCTTAGAAGCCCTTAAACTCAAAGCGCTAATGTCTGAAATATCTGCTTGGGAAGCACAAAGCTTTTTCCTCCTACTATGTGTACAGCTTCAGCTTTAAATAAAGGTCACGCTACTGTTGAGGAGAGAAGCTGGGGCGGGGGGGACACACTTACATGATGTAGCATGGTCTGTTACGGGACTTATGCTCAGAGTCACTTTAAAATCGCAAATAAGATGGTTTTGTTCCGTGATGTGCAGATGCTTGTTAGATTTCTGCACTTGCTGGGCATTCCCTGAATTCCCTCACAATTGGCACTGGTGGTCGTGGCCTGTGTTACCAAATGGTGCTGGTGGCCACCAAACAAAATGAAAAGGAGATGCTTCAGTGGTTGGTGCTGGGGGACTGGTAGATCACAGCAGGCACCGTGTTTCAGTCACTGAATGAATCAGACACCTAGAACATGAACATCTGTGCCTGGGCTAGTAAAACAGCCTTCCTCCACAGACAGTGCAGAGCAACACAAACACCTTGGGCACAAAGCATCTGACTTATTTTGGGTATCCAATTTAAGCTGTTCTGAACTGTGTTTTAAAAGTACCTGTTTCTCTCCATTGACTGTGAAGGTATTCTAGGGTGGTCACCACAGATGTACATATCTACACTGGTCAGATGAGTCCTCTCCTAATGACAAAACATGGTGGTTTTATGATGACTGGTGAGTGAGCTGCGTCCTCAGTGGACATGACTGGTCATCATCCCAATGATGTCTGAATCCCAGTTTGAATGATGTTGCACTTTGAGGAGAAAGGCCCAGGACTGCCCCAAAGCAGAGCATGACCCAGCGCCTGAGCCTCAGTTCCAGGGATGAAGGTGGTGGTGGAGAGCTCTCCTTCCAGCAGCCTTTGTCTCATGCAACATAGAGACCTATATCTATCTATAGGTACAGGCTAGCACTGGGAGACCAACAGCCCATCAACAGGGCTTAGGGCTTAGGCCCTTCATCAGGTGGATCATGAAGCTTGACAAAATGTAACTGGTGGCTTGACCTGTGTTCAGAAAGGAATAACAGAGAGGAAAAGTTCAGTGTTATGATGCACTTTACATGTCCTTGCTTTCAATCTGTATTGACAAAGAAGATGTTTATTTCTGTCCTTTCTTCTCCTCCCACCCTGCCTACACATCACTGAACCTGGGATGACCCAAGGAAACCAATGAGAAAAGAAGAGAACGGAACCAGTCGGGCTGAATATGCAATGACCTCCTCCCAAAACAACAAAACAGTTGATAACAATGCGGTCGTATAATCCCCAAAACCCCACCGAGGCGCAGGAGGTGGTAAACTTTCAAAGCACACACACGGAGTATGCAAGGTGGGTGAGATAAGGCAACGAAAGGAGCTGTGTGGCCAAGGACTTCATTTCAGAAATAGTGCACACATCAGTGATTCAGAAGAGAAAAGCAGGCTGCTCTTCAGGCTTGCTGCTTCTCCAAGGGAGGATAAACTCGCCCACCCGGGCTGCCCGGAGAAAAGGCCTCACAAAGGCATAAGCATTGCATGCTGCATCTCGTGAAAGCAATGTCACGATGCCTCCCGCTTCTTCTTCTTCCTCTCTTCCCCCTCCCCCCCCCGCCCCAACTTTTCAATTTGAATTGAGTGTCCACAAAAAAGCTGCTGAAATAGGATCTTTTGAGGAGATGGTGACCTGCCGGAGTGGCAGGGGCTAGATGTTGGCCTGCCGGAGTGGCAGCAGCTTATTATAAATGGGTCTGAGGGTCAAGGGTGGGAGGTGTCACCTATGTGCTTCTCCAGCCTGTGCAGTTTTGTACGCTTATACTTCATTCTTATCATTCTTATTATTTCATTATTAAAAAGGGAAGAAAGGTTTCTGCTAAGCCATCAAGCAACCAAAAATTGCACGAACTTGTGACTTATCCCAGGAAATTCATCTGTGGTCTGGTGACTATGCAATTTCCATGGCTGAAGACTTTTCAGGCAAAAAAAATCAAAATGTAAGATTTAAGCAATTAGCGTTGCTATTGAAAGAGAGATACTATTGAGGTGCTTTGAAACTTGTTACTTCATAATCAGCCTCCTTTTTTGCATCACGTTATTTTTTATCTTTAAAAAAGTTCTTCCTTTGTGAAATTCTACATGTTTCTCTGTGTTTGCATCATGCCAATTCCCCAGGGAAACCCCCACAGGAAAGACGCTGTTTACATCTTGGCCTGAGTATTTGGGCGGGATTGTGTTGAAAGGACTAGCAGCCCTTTGAAGTCCTCTTCATTCACTGATCAGTGTTGTTTCCTGAAAGTGTCCTGAACTGACCCACTGAGGACATTGTAGGTCTGGCTTGGAGGACCACTTTTGAGGGTCTGGTAAGCTGGTTGTGCCCACGTTAACTCAGCCTCTGCCTCTCCTGGGCAGAGACTGCCAATCGTGCCAAATTCAGCGTAATAGCTTAGTGTTGTACTTCCCGTCACATGGATTGCAGACTACTTAAAGCAAAGCTGAATCCACCCAAATGCATTTCATGTAGGATCTCAGGTTAGACTCAGTATGTAACCCTTAGGATAAAGGCGATGAGACTAGCTGAGACGCTGGTCTTTTCCCACCTCCTGAAAACTGTCCTTCGTGTCACACCTCCATGTGTGTGTCTCCATTTACCTCTGCGCTGAAAGTAGCGATGCAGTGAAAGACAAATTTCCACCCTGGCTTCTTGTCTGGACGTCAAGCTTCAATACCACTTGGTCTCCGTGTCTGTGAGTAACTCCCAGACTGCGCCCCGGCCGTCGCGTCCCTCGGTACTGCAACACACTGATGCTTTCAGTTTTATATAAGGATGTGCCTGAACTGCAGAAATCAGACCTTGATTTTGAATGCATTCCTGTCTGCAGTTGGTCTATTGCTGGGATGTAGAGTTTGGGCTGATGGTAGAGGAAGATGATGGTCTGCAGACCTTCCCTGAAAAAGCTCCAGGATGTTCAAATCAGTAGTTTCAGCTCAGGCCCATCTCTAGTTTTCTATTACCTATTGAACAATAGGGTGTATGTAAATATAGGCATCTTTTCAATGATAAAATGAAATGCTGCTATATACTGCTGTTGAAGAATTTATGGAGCTACTCATTTAGCTTTTTAGCCTGTCATCACTATGTAGAAGTTTAGCTGCATAGAATTATTTTTTAAAGGCTAGACTTTCTTGACAAGTAAATGCAATTACAAAAATGAAAGGGAATAAGTAACCCTTTGCCCAAGAGTACGGTCATTCCCTGCCATATTCATGTTGTGTGCTTGCACAGGACACAGTGATATGTCCTTAGATCCAAAGTGGAATTAAAATGACAAGAATTTACACTTTGAGTCTAGTATCCCAAATGTTGATTGCCTAAAGCACTTAGCCCCTAAATACTATAATGAAAATATTGCAAGTATATTTCTAGAATATTTTTTAAGCTATAACGTTTATTTTGGTGTCGTTACCCATGTTTGCCTTTCTTTTTTTACCTCAGTTGTTTCTGCCTAAATGTGGCATAGTTTGAGACTGGTTGCATGTTTAGCTGAGAGTATAAAGTATGAATGCAGATGAGTTTAGCATGATACGGGCTCAGGATTAGCACTTTCTCCTAAAGGTTGTTGATTTTATTTATTCCCTAATACAGCTTTAAAGGCATGTTCTGTAAGGCCAAAATCACAAAAGGGATTTGTAGCTCATTATGTCCATCCAAATGTGTCTGGTTTTGCAAGAAGTCGTCTAAAGAGATGACCACTGGACAGTGTCTGAATTTCAGTGGCGTCAATGGTAAAATGTCCTCACTGAGAGAAAACCCTGGTGCATGACGTGACCCAAAGCAAACCTACCCCAGGCCCCCTGAGGTCTCCTCGGTGGAACATAAGCATTAAAAGCTTCATGGAGAGCGGGGAGGCAGGACATTTCAAGGAGCAGCATGCGGGGACTGGGATCTACTTTCAACTCTGCCACTGATCCGCTGTTTACTAGCAAGTAATTTTGCCTCTCTGTGCCTCAATTTACCCATCTGTATAATCAAGATAAAAATACTTACCAGCTCTGTGGCAGTGTTTTCAGAGATAGATATATAGCCTATTCGCATAGGCAGATTTACACTGTCATTATATCCAACATGCTGATATTAAATAACCATATTTAGGCACATCACCGCCATAATAAGTCATAAACAAACGTTCCCCTGTGTGCTTTTTTTAATCCATTGGCCACAGAAGAGCAGCAGTAGACAGGCTGAGAGCGGCTCCTCCGCTCGGCCAGAGCTTTGGCTCTCAGCATTCGCTCAGCTCCACAGCTGGGGGGAGATGGGAAATCCTGCACGGGGTGGTTTTGCCTTCAGATTCCTGGCTAAGTACAGTTGACTACATTGCACCAAAATTTAGGGTGATCTTCAGAAAGGTGCTTGGAAAAGTATACTGGAAGCAGATGTAAGTCTTCAGAAAAGAGAGGCTAGAAAGGCGATGTCATTGAGGAATGATTTCTGAAGTTTGCTGATGTGGTTTAAGATTGTGCTTAACACTACAGACTACTTGCAAAGCTTTTATAAAAGAGGCTTCTGTGCTTCCTTATTGTGCTATGATTAAATAGAAAGGGAAAGGAAAAGACTTGAAGGATAAGGGCTTCACTAAGCAGTGACCCTGGATCTGGGGAACTGGTGATCCAAAATACAGCTTTACAAGCATTTCGAGTTTCTTTTTAGCCACCCAAATATCAGGTGTAGAAAGGTCCCACATAGCTCTGTTCACAAAATAGCCAGATCCCCGGCAGATGAAAAGGTGGCCAATTTCTGCGCAGAAGTTAACTGCTCTGGCTCTGACCCCTCCGACCACCACCACCAGGCAGACTCAGAAAACTGCTGTGTTGGGCCTGAGGGAGAGCATCAACTCAAAATTTCTTCTCGAGGATCACCACTAGCAGACACAAGCAGGGAATGTACTTTAAGGGCCTGAGCTGCAAAGTGTTGAGTTTCCTCAGTCCTCAGCAGTGCCAGGCAGGCGGAGCTGAAGCCCCAGCCCTGCCGCCCTTCCTGGCTCAGACCTGACACAACGGTGTGACCAGGAAAGCATCTCTACCTTGGCTAGATGCTGCAAAAACAGACATGGAAGGAAAGAGGAGAATTCTACTAAGTATAAGATATAAATATATTGATATATATCTATACAGGGACCTAATTGTCCAGTCTTGCATGCCATATGGTCACAGCATGTGAAGTGAGTGTGGGCCTCCTGCTCCAACTGGGTCATGACCATAGATGCTGCCAAGCAATGGAGAATCAGGCCTATGGTAGATATGTATTTACAATACTCCCTGCACCTGTACAAACAAAAATATATTATTTTAAACTGCAAAATAGTGTGTTTAAATCAATGCATGAATGTAAATATTCTAAGATCTGCCTTCTTGACTGTGTACCACATGTACAGATGAAAACGAATATTGTTTATAGGAAATCTGTATCAGTGGTTAAATGACTAAAGAGAAAAAATATCAGAATTAATGTTGTCATGTTTCTCAAACAAGCCATTAATGTATATTTAGTATTTAAGGATATTGCTCAATAAATATGTTCCGTACCAAAAACCGTGTTGCATATACAGATTGTGCAGTACCCTATTTTAAAAAGGCACCATAATTAATTTTTATTTTAAATAAAAATGTACTTGTAAAAAGTTTCCTGTGTCCTTTCGGTTATGTAGCTGAGAACTGAGTCTACACATTGAAGAGAAATGCGGAAGGGAGGAATGGCTGAGCGCCTCTTCAGGCACTTCTCTTCCTGCCTGAACTAACGCTGCCTGCTCGCTCGCTCTCTGCTCTGGCTTTGGAGATGCTCGTGGCTGCTGCTCACGCCTGCATCTGGCTGGGATCTGGTTCTGTCTCGCCTGACCCTGCAGTTTTAGTCCCAGATATGTGCGTTATCCTGCAGCCCTCCAAAGCTTGGGAAACCCCTTCGCTTTATGCCGAAGGTGCTGCAAGTTTCCCTATCAACATACTCTAGTTTTAGAGTATTTTCTTTATCTTTCACACAATACTCCATACCTTTGTTTATTTTGGTGCAAGAAACAACATGCACCATTTTATATTCTAACTCCCTGTGTGGACTTCACCCTCCCTTTTCCATGCAAGAACAGAAGTAAATGACAGAGCAGTCCTTCAGCAGATCATAGAATCATAGAATCATAGAATCACTTTGGTTGGAAAAGACCTTTGAGATCGTCGAGTCCAACCTTTAACCTAACCTTGCCATCCCACCACTAAACCATGTCCCTAGGCACCTCATCTATC